AGGCTGGTCATCACAGCGAGGACAGGCGAAGGAAGGAAGGGCGAAAGCTTAGCTTTACCTGGATTGTTTCATTTCTTTCAAACTAGAAGGAGATTGCAAAATGAAGATGGGAAATACTGAAGTGTTTTCATCTTGGTGGTGGGTACATAGGGTCTGTTATATGCTCTGTCTTGCTCTATGTTGGAAATGTTTCCTAATTAGCGATTTTAAAATTCAAAGCGACTTTTCTAGCAGAAGGGCCCGACTAAAGGAGTCGAACTGGAAAGTGACTAGATTGGACAGGAAAAGTTTGTGGGAGGATCCGGCACAATTTTTCTGTAAAGGGCCAGAGGGTAAATATTTTTCACTTGGTGTGCAACCTGGTCTCTGTCCCCAGTTTTCACCTTGCAACAAAAAAGCAGCCATAAACAAAATGGAAATGGCCGGGTGTGGCTGTGCTCAATACAACTTGATCTACAAAAACAGACCGGTGTTGCTTGGAGCCTGTAGGTCAGAGTTTGCACAGATTATAGTTGCTAAAGGTGAGTGGCTTTATCAGACAAGCAATCATAGGCTAAGAGGATGATCCAGAGGCTAACACACATCCACACTGAGACGGGGAGCTAACCTGCCCCTCTCAGCCTAAGCATGCAAGTCATGAATGAAGTACCTGAGGTTCTAGTAGTAAAATTCCTAAAAATCATCTCTGAACTCTTGACATTGTTGGGGGTTTTGTTTGGAGTTTTTCTTTGATTTTGATTCTGTTTTCACTTGGGGTGTGGGAAACGTTTACCCCAGGTGTGTCTGCTGATAATCAGCCCTGGGTACTCCCCTGCAACCTTCCAAAGATGCTCTAGAATCCTTAGATCACAGAACATGTTTGAGCCCCATCCCAGTCACCACTCACGCACAGCTCAGTGCTGCCTTGACCTGAAAATCTCAAACTCAGCAAGATCACTAGAGTGAGTTCATCGGCTCGGTTGTACCCTCAGCCTTTGCTCACCGATGTAGACATTTTGGGCTGCTGTCTACAAGGGCCAGGCTGCAGGGCGTTCAGTGAAGGGGAAGTGCTCCCACTTCAATCTATGCACAGCCTACACTGACCAACCCAGTCTGCCCAGCCCATCGGCATGTGTTGGGCTCAGTCCTGGCAACGTTTGCAAATTCACAGCATTGTGAGGCCATAAAGACGGTTAATAAACCCAGCAGGGTTTATGTCCAAGTTTTTTCTGATACAGCCCAAACACAAGATATGAGGGTAAAATGAAGTATCTATTTGTTGTCGTTACTGGCAGTGTGGCAGCATTCTTGAGATGTGAATTGGATGCCAACCATTTCTCTGAGTAGCAGTGTGATTCAGGGCACGGCAGGACTCCGATCAGGTTCTTGTGGGGCCACTGACATGCACCTGGATGGCTAGTGAGCCAAAGAAAGAAGCATGTACTTTCTCTCCCAGGTGAGCCCCGCACAGCTGACAACTCAAGAGCTTTAGTGTCCTTCAAGTAAAGAGGACACAGCCTAACAGTCACTGCGGCACAAGACCCCTTGCCTGTCCTAACACGGAGATTCCAGTCCCTTGGCAACCCCACTGTTGTGTGAAGAACAGAAACAGGAGGTAGGGAAGGAGAGAAGAGTCTCCTTGGCCCCTCTCATCCAACTTCCATCAGCCTCTTTCCAGGTCCCGAGAATGGGTGGTTTGCTTTTCTTAGGTTCTTGTGAGGCATAACTTCTAAGGATGATGGCCAGATGTTCTGAAATCGTTTTTAAAGAGTTCAGAGAATGTATGTTGTTAATCACCAGATCTGATCCTGGTGACGGAGAGTTTTTGCCCCAAATCGATCTGAGTACGTTTTAGCTCTGTTCTCCCTGACAACACCTAGGACCTGCTGAGTGAAAGTATGCATTTTTGAACCTATCAAAGCCTCATGTGAAGCTGTTACTGGAACGAGGAGCTGAGGAGCAGGCTGACTCTGTAAATCTTTCCTGGCGGGGACTTGCAAATTTTTGGTTGTGTTTACTCAGAACGTTAATAATTTCAGAAATTACTAAAATGGAACCGACATACTTTCTTTTTAAGAGACTATTGAGATCACAAATCATCCTGCAAATATAAGAAGCTCTGTGAGCAGAGTAGGTCCAATACCCGAGGCCATGAGCCTGCTGGCAGAGTGGCCGTTTGCATGTGACATTTCATGTGTGGAACTAAGAAGGCATGAGAACAGCCCTTTAAAAACTTGGCCTTAAAATTTCAATCATTGTGTTGGACCAAATGTTTCTGAAAAAGAAAAGCTTCCTTTTTCCCTCCAGTTCTCAATCTTTTGACTTCCCTTGCCCATGTCACCTCCATTCACCTCACTCCTGCGCTTTGGGGAATGGCAACACCTGCAGGAATCCTGTGTGGATCGGAGAGATGCTTCCTGAGCATCTCCTGCTCCCGCTCCAAGAAGAACTGATGCTCTTCCTCTGGACCTCCCTACCCCCTGGGCTCACTGGTGCCCGTGGGAATCACCGGAAGCATTTCTTTAAAATATAGATCGTAAACTCCACCCCAGCTGTGTTGACTCAGCATGTTCTGGGGTGGAGCGCAGGAATTCACAGGCTAAGACATCCCAGGGGATGCAGATGCCACACTGCATCCAGGGTCACTACACTGTGCCCGTGTAACTGTCACACTGCCAGCTGCATGCCTTCCCGTCTTCCGAATCGCAAGCTTGTTGAGGACAGTGCACACATGGTGTTCATATTTCATTCGCTCATTTACTGAATTCCTGTGTACCAGGGACTGATCTAAACGCGGGGCCACAGCAGTGAATAAAACTGGGGTCCTCTGTCTTGGACCTTGCATTCCAGTCAGTGGGGGAAGTCAGAGAATACAAAAAGGAAAAAAAATCATTAAATACAAAACGAACAAAGCAGGGAAGGAGAGTGAATGCCAGGGTTGTGGTGAAGTTACTAAGGCCTCACTAGGAGGTGATAATTGAGCAAAGAGTCGACTGCAGCAGAAGCCATATGGAGGGGGGACATGTAATACTGGGGGAAGGCAACATAAGGCTCTGCAGCAGAAGAATGCTAGGCACACTCTAGGACAGAAACGTCGTCAGTGTGCACAAGGAGGTGATAAGGCCCCGTGAGATAAGTATGGGGCAGGCAGAGCCTGCAAGGGCTCATCTAACCCTGGGAGAACTTAGTCTCCGAGGGAGGTACCAGAATTTTCAAGGCTTATCACAGTGCTTGCTCTAGATTAAATACTCAACAAATACTTGATGAAGGCATCATCCGCTGGTGACATGCAAAAGCCTCTTGTGTCTTAGACTAGTAACAGTGACACAGAAATATTTCAGCTTAGATGTTTCTATACTGCACATTACATCTCTAGAAGTTGTTTATTTTATAACTGGAAGTCTCTACTTTTTGACCATCTACCAAGCTATCTATCTAGCTCAGATATTTTAAGACAAGTATTTTTAACAGAGACATGGACCCAAATATACTGGCTGAGTGATCTTAGAAAGTTATATAGCTTCTCAGTGCCTCGGTTTCCTCATCCATAAAATAAGGGAAATAATAATACTCATTTCAAAGAACACTGATAATTAACTATGTTTATACATGAAAGGAAACTGCAAGAGTGTCTGATATATTTCAAGCACCAATACATATTAACTATTATCAATAGCATGAATATATTTAAGACATCTGTAATAATGCAAGAAGTTTAATGCATTTAATATTAAAGTCTAGTCCTTATATATGCTTATTCCTGCTGTATATACTATAATTAATACACATTAGATAACTATACAATGCCTTCTCTATATAAATTTACATGCCATTCTGGGGTGTACATGTTAAAGAGTCTCATGCAGTTCTGTGAGCGGTAAAATGCACAGAGAGGGAATGACTAAATGTAAATACGATGGTGATGATGATGATGATGATGATGGATAAAAATGATAAGGAGATAAGAATCATCTCTGTTGTGGGGTATTGCTGTCCCTTGAGGTTATAAATGACAATACAATCATAAAAACTATGACTTAAACTCTGAAGGAGTCCATTTGTCAGACTGGTTTGCTTCCTATAAGACATGGGTTAGAGTAAGAATATTTTCTCTCTTGGTCCCTCCGTGAAGTATTTGCTGGACTTGTGTCATGGTTGCCTAACACAGAGACCAAGGAACAATCCATTCATGTGGTCCCACTGCATGGGCCTAAGTCCGTTTTCATACAGCTGTGGACATTTCTTAATTCACAACTGGGAAGTCGTTTCCACCGCAAGAATCAAATTCATGACTCATTGGAATTACTTGAGTATCTTTTTGCAGATGTTAAATGTTATTTATTAGATAGAGGCCAACAGCAAATGTTAATTTCCCTCATCTCTGTCTATTTCTCATTGTTATACTCATTCCTCGAAACTTGTACACCATGCTCACCTTTGCTTTGCCTTGTATTACTTCTCCTGGTCATGTCCATGCCTCATGGTTCATTGTGATGGCTCTGGAGACAGTTGCCTGGCTCTGAATCCTGGACCATAACCTAGTGGGCAAATTCGGCACCTTCTGTGGATCTCAGTTTCCTTCAACACAAAGTAGGGATAATAAATAATGTCTCCTTCAACTTAAGGCTGCTTTGAGGATCACATGGGATCTCAGGACAGCATTTACTGAATCACAGTGAATGTTGCGGAGTAACTGTGGCTGGTACTTGGGCAAATGCGCTTGAGCTAGTTTTGATAGCCGTTGCTTTGTGATTCTCCTGTAGCTGTTCAACGAGTTTTCTGACTGCATTACTATTTCGTTCACATCCTTGCCTTCGGAGCAGTATTTCGGATTTCTCCATTGCTGTCTGTAAGTGGACCACTAACCACTTCTCACCACCAGCTGCCCCTGGGCATCCAGCCCCCCCCCCCCCCCCGCCCCCAATTCCTCCTGATCGAACCATAAAACATTCAAAGGAAGACGATGCCGCACGCCCTCGCCCGTCCCAGCCCTCCCCTCTAACTGTCTTCTCGTTGCAGGGATGTTCTGGAAGCTTTCCCTGTCCTTGCTCCTGGGGGCTGTGCTGGTGAAGGAGGTGGAGGCCAGGAAGAGCCGGCCGGCGGGAGCCATCCCCTCGCCTTACAAGGAGGGCAGCAGCAACAACTCGGAGAGATGGCAGCACCAGATCAAGGAGGTGCTGGCCTCCAGCCAGGAGGCCCTGGTGGTCACCGAGCGCAAGTACCTGAAGAGTGACTGGTGCAAGACGCAGCCGCTGCGGCAGACGGTGAGCGAGGACGGCTGTCGCAGCCGCACGGTGCTCAACCGCTTCTGCTACGGCCAGTGCAACTCCTTCTACATCCCGCGCCACGTGAGGAAGGGGGAGGAGTCCTTCCAGTCCTGCGCCTTCTGCAAGCCCCAGCGCGTCGCCTCGGTCCTCGTGGAGCTCGAGTGCCCCGGGCTGGACCCCCCCTTCCGACTCAAAAAGATCCAGAAGGTGAAGCAGTGCCGGTGCATGTCGGTGAGCCTGAGCGACTCGGACAAGCAGTGAGCCCGGCCGCCGCCCCGCACTGCCCGGCGCCTGTGTCCCCGTCCTCCCAACGCACCCGCTGCCCCGCGCCCCTGGGCCGCAGGCACGCGCTCGGGCCGCTGGTGTCCTGGTCACGAGCGCGGGCCACAGGGGAGCTGTTCTGCGGTCCTGCGACCCTGGGCCTCGCACGTGCCTCCAGACCAGGCCGTGTGGCAGGCCCCAAGGAAGATGCTGGGAAAGCAGCGCCCAGCAGCCGGAGAGGCATCGATGTTTCCACCGTGTGGAAAGGGGAGGTGGCCCCGGCGTCGCCCTGCGCCGCAGCTCGGCCCTGCCTGGGCGGTGTGGAGGGTGCGCACCCTGCAGAGCAGCCCCCACCCCCGCGGCTGCCCATCCCGGCGAGCGTCCCTGCAGGGACCCCAGGGCTGGCTTCTCCGCGGAGCTGTCCCTGCAGGGGCCCCAGGGCTGGCTTCTCCGCGGAGCTGTCCCTGCAGGGACCCCAGGGCTGGCTTCTCCGCGGGCTGCGGCTTCGGGGCCGGGCGGCAAGAGGCTGCCCGCAGACGGGGAGGTTACTCCGACACCAAGAAGACGGCTTGGGTGCCAACGGGGCCTCCCCGGGGACTTCACTCACAGCAGGCCACACTCTCCCGGTCCCCAGCCGCCACCAACTTCCTCACGTCCCCCACCCCCACTCACGGACTAAAGAACTCTGGTGTGCATGCAACTAGAATATTATTACACACAAAGGTCTCCATATTAGCGCCGGTTTTATAACTGACCTATATTGTAAAGAGCTGTTAAAAAGTATTATAGACCTGTCCTTGTATTGTTTCACGGGTTGTGACTCGAGCTTTGCAGCAGCTTTCTGAGTAAGGACCAGAGCAGAGGATGACCTGCCCAGAGAGGGTTGACTCGGACACATGCCTGGCAGGGTCGCTGACATGCACCTGTTCTTAGGTTAGGAAGGGAGACATGGGAGGAGTTGCGATTTCACATTGAAGAGTATTTCGCTGAAGGTAGTAGGGCAGGAACCGGGTGGGATGGGCGGGTGTCGGGAGGCGGAGACATTGGGAAGTTGTTACCCTGAGACTCAGAAGCCCCTATAATATTTAATATGCATGTGGAGGGAGCAGGTGTACTAGTCCACCGCCTTGGCACTGAGCAAAAACTATTTCCTGTTAAAAGAGAGAGAGATTTAAAAATACCAGGAGCCGGGTCACTTTGTGGTGTAGGAGGAAATAAATAAAGGACACAAGATATCACATGGAAATTAGTTGAACTCTCCTACAGAAAGCAATGGACTTCAAAAGAATAAGGGGCCGCATCAAGTCAGCTTTCATTTTGATACTGAAATGTCGAGGTTTCCATGTTGCGGTCTCTTGCTATAAGGAAGTTGATATAGTTGCATTCCCTGCAAAATTCTTACTTTGCTCAATGGCCCCACCAGAAGGCTCCCTGTGAGTCATGTTTATGGAATCTGATGAATGGGAAAGAGATTCCAATCTGATCGGTGGGAATGAGCACACTCGGGAAGGTTTTCATCGACCCAGAGAGCAAGGACTCAGGTGGGGTGTGGCGAGTCGGGCATCCCCATCTCTGCTCTGAAGGGTTCATGTCTGTCCCTTGTGTGTCGCCGTGAGACCTGAGCAGGATGTGCAGTTTTAAAGGGTTCAGAAATGGGCATAGACAGTACTGAGTCAGGAAATCTGGATTTAGTGGAAAACCTCAAGTCAGACTAAGGCAGAACAGGCAGCACTAAAACTGTGAGGGAAGGAGGTCCGCGTGATTGTAACAGAGGCCAGTGCACAGGAGTAAGGGGAGCGGAGGGCAGTCTTGGCCATCTGCAAAGCCACCCCTGTCACTTCACGAACACAGAACCCAAGCAGACAGGGGGGGATTAAGCCATGAACTCACCGAGCACAAACACGAGCTCACCCTTCGAACCCGGCGTGGGAAAAGCAAAGGAAGTGGTATGATATGCTGCAGGGGAAGCTCCTTCCGGGGGTTCTTGTCTGTACAAAGTTTACCTTATAATGGCTCAAATTGTATTTAATTGTGTTTTTTTGTTGTTGTTTATAAATGAAGAAAAGCTATAAGTATAATGTAATTATTTTATAGGTGTACTATTAAATTATAGAATAAATAAAGATGCTCTAGGATTATATGTGATCTTGGTGTGATGTGCCATGAAAGAGAAATTCTGAACTTGATTCAAGGGGCAGCATAGAAACCCTGTGCATTACGACGACTTCTGTCCAGCCAGGGTGAGTTGAACTCCTAGCCTATGTCAGGTGATTGATTGTCCTGGGGGCCTGGCATCTTCAAAGAGAATCCAAGTCAGGCATCCAAAGAGCGGAGGTGATGGGGATGGTTCTCAACCCTGGTCTGGGGAGTTTCCAGACTCTCACAGATCCCAACAGCTGAAGACAGGATTCTTAACCCATTGTCCTGTGTTCTCGGAAAAAAAACACCGAGGAGGAGGCCCTGAGAAGCTGCTGCAGAGAGAAGTCTGCTGTCCCCCTGGTCGCCCCTCCAGCTGCCAGAGTGCCGCCCTCGCTTCCTCCACAAGCCAGAACTTGTCCTGAGTTTTGTACATTGTCACGTTCACTTTGCACAAGTTTCGGCATTTCTTAATTTAAATACTTCGGTTTTACAGTGGCTCAGTTTCTCTGCAAATTGACTTATCTGCCATTCAAGAAACCTAACTACCAATAAAACAATGAAAACCTTAATGAAAGTGCATATGGTTGATTTACTGTTTGGATTTAAAATGAATTTAACTTAATTTCATAGTAAATACTTCATCTTAGTTTATTAAATGGGACCCAACACTCCACTTAAATGAGATTAAGATATTCCAATTCACAGTGTTTCTGAAGTCGGATGATTGATTTTTTTCCTTTTTTGTTTTATTTTGTTTTTTTATCCTCACCCAAGACATTTTTGCATCCATCTTCAGATAGAGCAGGAGGGAGAGAGGGAGGAAGAGAGAGAGAGAAACTTCGATGTGAGAGACACATCGACTGGCTGCCACCCACACGACCCCAACCAGGGTCGAAGACAAACTGCAACCCAGGTATGTGCCCTTGACTAGAATCTAACCCACAACACTTCGGTCCATGGGCCAACACTTCAACCACTGAGCCAAACAGGCCGGGGCCCTGAGCCTTTTTTTTGTTTTTTAAATCTCTTCAACAAACCCATGCCACTTGGAACTGGGTACTCACTTGCAAACTCTTTGTGGTCATGCTACCCCTCAAAACTCTTAAGCAAGCCGGGGGGCCCCCACCAGCATCTCATCTCAGTGTACACCTGGGGAAACATTAGCAGTGCCCTGCCGCAGGAGCCCGAGGCCCTCCTGGCAACCAGCTGGGGAGGGATCCACCTCCAGACCCTTTCTTAGGATATACTTTCTTGGACCACTCCTAGAGCTGCCTCTGTTAGACTGGTTTCCCACACTCTGAGGCAAAACCTTGCGTGCGGAAGATTTATCGGGGCGTGATCTGAGAACACAGGCCCGCAGGAAGCGAGGGAAGGAGGGCTGTGTGGCAGAAAAGCAAATTGGTTGGAACTGAGGCATCCTCTGATCCCCTGTGGCGTCCTGACGTTGGGATGGCAGTATCAGAGTTGTCCCGAAAGGAAGCAAGAATAGGCTTTCTTATCCATCATCTAGCCACTGGCTTCAGGAAATCCCGGGGAGCGGTAAGTGGCGTCCTCCACTGAGGGCAACTCTTACGGAGAGACGGAGAGACGCAGTTGTGAACCACCAGCAGCTAGTCTTGGGGGGGGGGGGCAGTGGGTGGGGTGAGACGAGATGGGCGCATCAGCTCTGGGTGGGGCACCGTGACATCCACCTTAGCATGTGTGTTGGGGGTGGGGGAGTGGAGTTGGGAGGCTGGAGGAGAGAGAGAGTCAAGAATGTGATTTTTGGAAAGAGAGGCAAAGGAAGTTCCATTTGATTTTATAGGAAAGAAAAAAATTGCTGACAAATTTGACTAGGATTTTTCTAGTCACAATATGCAGGCTGATGGGAGGGAACCGAGTCCATATCAATAGCCCAGCTCAATGGCTCTTGAAAGAGTTTAGCCTGCAGATGAAGGCCAGACAAGGTAGTAGAATTAGATCAGAACGGAAGAGACAGGTATGCAAAACAGTTGCCGAATTTGGTGACGAAAGAGGAGAGTGTTCGCGACAGAGGTGGGGAGCCCAGGAAGAGAGGACCTGGAATTAGAAGGTGGGTTTTCCTAGATGTAGCTGCTGGATAGGGAAATAATCTGAATGAACCATCTCAGTTGAAGAAAAGGACTGGAATTCAAGAAGCTCACCTGTAGAAACAGATTGAGAAGCAAAAATATGCCCTGGCCGGTTTGGCTCAGCGGTTGGAGCATCAGCCTGCGGACCAGAGAGTCCCAGGTTCGGTTCCCGCTAAGGGCACGTACCAAAAAAATTAATAAATAAATAAAAATCACTTGAAAAAAAAAAAAAGAAGCAAAAATATTATGACTAAACCCATGAACATAGATGAGATTTCCGAAAGACGACAAGAGGAGGGAACAGAAGACCAACTAACCTTAGACACTGCTCCTCAAATAGAATAGAAAGAAGAGAAATGTGTGACATTGGTCAGGCAACGTCTGCCTACCTACTGAGATAGAAAATGGGGCCTTGGGATCCTTTATTTACTGACCTCCTTCTGTTCCTATACGTTGCTTCCGACCCATCCCACCTTCCAAGCCTCTCTCTGCTCTGTGCATGGTGCTGTTTCTTTCTGAAGAGTCCTAATGGCCCGAGCCCTGCCCCCAACTCCAATTCCCCAAGGGAAGGAGAGTGTGCTGAATAAACTAGGCACATGTCAAGTCTTCCTAACTACCACTTCCGCCCTTAAAGTTCTGCTGCAAGGACATTCTGCACCTAACAGGACCAGAGCTTTGAAGAAGGATGCAATAGCTAATGTGGGGGAGGGGGCACTGGATGCCAAAGTATAAACTGGGTGTCTAACGAAGGCTAGAAACTTAACATGCTAT